TCTCGTCCCCGCCAGCCGAGCTTGAGAAGCAGGCGGGATCGAGAGCAGGGTCTCCCCGGAAGATCTCAAAGTCCTGGTGGGTTCATAGGCAGAGATGCGGTCAGATAGGTATCTTGGTATCTGTTGAAGGCTCTCCTGGTTTATGTGTTGTTCCTTCTTAATAACTCTTGCTATCTTGACCACATTCTGATGTTTGTTCACATATGATTCACTTTCATCAGACAATGTTGGAGAAAAAAATATTAAAAAGTTTGAAATATATATTTTTATTTATTTTATCATAATTCAATACATTTGTTTTTGAACTGAATTATATGAGTCTACACTGCCATGTAATCCAGTTCAAAGCGGATAATCTGGATTTTATATGGCAGTGTACAAGGGGGCCCATTTTGCCTAGCCCAGGATTATTTTTAATGCCCGCTAATAGGGGAAGATTCACTTTTTTAAGGCTGTTCATTGGTATGAATTCTTATCTGTATTATAAAAGTAGTATAATTTCGTTTCTTTTTTAAGCACGCACTGGAAAGAACTGGTAGAGGACTAGTACCCAATGACTACATTCCACATCATATGCCTCTCTATTCATCACCCTATGATAGGAAGATCTTATTAGTCTAGACAAGAAAACGTCATCTCTGGACTATAAACTCAATTGTTTCTTAAAATAACCAGTTTTGCTTCAAAATTAATTTTATTCAAATTACATTGATGCCCATATTATGGATTGCCAACTGGGTAATTGATTCTTCGTGGCTACATTCTCTATTTTCATTGACTTACTGCTTCCCACCCCTATTACACAAGCCATGAAGTATTTCTCATCAAATATAATTTTAGGTCATTCCTATAGAGGTTTTTTGCGCTGAATTCAGGTCTGTGTTTAGTTTTTCTCTATCACATGTAATTTTTGCAATTATGCTAATTCAATAATTAATGCATTTATGCACTGATAGCAATAGAATCTAATTAATATCAGTGTGTAAATGCATTACTTATTTGATTATCCTCATCACAACCACTACATGCGATAGAGAGGGGAAAAAACATTTGAATTGCGTGAAAAAAACTCTATAAGGATGATCTAAAATTATATCTGATGAAAAATACTTGTTGGCTTGTGTTATACAAATATTATTGGAGCATGCAAGAAATCAGTTTGTGTGTGTGTGTTAACTGTAAAATGCAATGCACAAAGCTGATTGGTTGTGCCATGCCTGGGGGAGAAGAAGGAGAAGAAGAAGAAAAAGAAGAGGAGGAGGAAGAGGAGGAGGAAGAGGAGGAGGAAGAACTTTATTTTTCTACCCTGCCTCCATCTCCCCGAAGGGACTTGGGGTGCCTTACATGGGGCCAAGCCCAGGGAACATACAATTAAAAGCAGAGCAATAACAAAATGCAATTTAAAAGCATAAAACAAACATAACAAAAAAAGACAAGCATCAAGCAACAAAAGAACTAATTTGAAAAAAAAATGGGGGAGGCCAAAATACAGGCTAATTAAAGGGTAATTGGTTCAACAAGGTGGAAGAAAATGTATAATAGCATAGGAAACATCATTAAAACAGAGCAATCTAACAGGATCAGAAAGAATTCAGTAAGGCTTACAAACTAGCTGAGCCTGGGAGTTTTGCCAACTGTTACATATTCGGACTTGAGCTGTGCAGGTGCTTGCAGAGAGAGAGACAGTTTAAGAGTGTGTTCTTGCTTCATGAGCTGCTGGAAGGAGATTTTCCAGATGGACAAAGAAAGGCTATTTTGAGTCTCGCAAACAGACATTGTGTGAATCAATGCAACTGTTCACATCATTGTACATATGTTGTTCTGCATTCTTATTCTTTATTGATCATCTGTGTGGCATATTTTCTTTCTCTGGCAAGACAGCGTTTGGACTGATAAAACATGAACTACACATGATTTCCATTACGCCACAAATATGACGTGAAATGTGCAGACTTTACAGTAGTCCGCTGTAATGTACTATTCGTCATATTTTTAAAAGTTGATGTGATGGAAAAAAATAAAGACATATTTAAAATCAGTGTAAAAATTGATTTAAACTGTGCTACTCTCATTTCTGATGATAACAAAAAGTTTGATTTTGTTGGCTTGTGTGATTAATATCCCAGTCCCAAGCACATTTCTTGCAAAGTAAACCTTATAGAACAAGCGATTCTGAACAAGCTTTGTTTGTAGCTTGTGGTTAAAAATAAATTCATGCAAGCAAACAGTATACAAGCACTAATTAATTTATTCATCCTTAAGACATCCTTCTTCCAAAATCCTTTTCCTCCAAAACTTCTAAATGAGTCTGAGAACTCAAGGTCTCCGCCCAAGGTCACCCAGTGAACATTGCGGCTGAAACTGATGAATTGCAGTCCGGACAGAAGATTTGATCTTGCCTTCTACAGACTGAATTGGGATTAAAGTTCTTTTCTTACAGTACATCCGCTAATTAGATTGTTTGTTGTTGCTAATTGCCATCTAGTCAGTTTCAAGACTTCTAGTGACCCTGTGAATGAGAGACCTTCAAGACATCCTATAATTAACGGCCCTTCTCTGGTCCTTCAAATTCAGGGCAACCATGGATTCCATTATTTGAGTCAATCCGCTTATGTTGGAGCGTCCTTCAGTTAATTGTGTAATTGCCATTCTATTTTCTGTACTTTTTACATTGTCACTGTTAAACTTTTGACACCCCAATAATGTGTATATATGGGGGGAGCAAAATTAACTTGACAATTAATAAGTTAATGCAAGATGGGATAATATTTATTTATTTATAGTGTCAAAAGTGAATTGAGGATACAGTTATAATGGATTTAAAAACTCAAAGTTAAATACTTGGAATTATACTAAATGTCCTTTGACCAGAAGCTGGCCACTTGGAGGCCTCAGGTGTCGCTGTGAGAAGGTTCTCCATTGTGCATGTGGCAGGGCTCAGGCTGCATTGTAGTCAGGGGTCTGTGGTTTGCTCTTCTCCACACTCGCATGTCATGGACTCCACTTTGGAGCCGCATTTCTGAAGATTGACTCTGTACCTCCTGGTGCCAGAGCATAGTCTGTTCAGTGCCTTCCAGGTCGCCCAATCTTATGTGCTCCCAGGAGGGAGTCTCTCATCTGGTCTCAGCCATGGCTTGAGGTTCCGAAGCTTAGCCTGCCACTTTTGGACTCTTACTTGCTGAGGTGTTCTTGCGAGTATCTCTGTAGATCTTAGAAAGCTATTTCTTGATTTAAGGCATTGGGGGACTGGCTGATATCCGAACAGAAGATGGATCAGAGATGCCACTGCCTAGGTCCTTTCATTATTGGCCGCTCCTTCCCGACGGATGTCAGGTGGTGCAATACCAGGTCCCCAGTGGTGTGGGGCATAGACATAATGCAGCATGTCTCATTAAGAGCCACATCCACTGTTTTAACATGATTGTAGTTGATGGGATTTTTAGTTAACCTACAATCAAAGAGCATTCTGAACTCCACCAATGATGGTACTGAACCAAATTTGGCACACAGAACTCCCATGGCCAATGAAAAAAATACTGAAAATTTTTGAGTTTTGGAGTTGTAGTTCACCTACAAAGCCCTAAATGGTTCGGAACCTGCCTATCTTCACAATTTCATCTTCCCCTAAGAACTGGTGGATACCCTGAGATCATCTGGGGAGGCTGGTTGGTGGGGACGAGGGAGATGGCCTTCTCAGTGGTGGCCCCCCGGCTCTGGAACTCCCTCCCTAGGGAGATCGGACAGGCTCCCACTTTGTCCTCCTTTTGGAGGGAATTAAAAATCTGGATGTTCCATTGTGCCTTTGATTAGGCGGTTCACCAGAGAAGTATCCTGTCCCTACTTTAAGTACTGCACTTTATTTTGGCCCTCTTATTGGCTACCTTGACACTTTTGCCAATGGTATTCCTTATGTTCCTTATGTTCCTTATGCTGTGGTGACCCCCCCCCCCCCCAACATAAAATCATTTTCATTGCCATTTCATAACTGTAATTTTGCTACTGTTATCAACTGTAATGTAAATATCTGGTGCATTTTCATTGACTGGAAGTGAGATTGATTTTGTCATTTGGGAGTTGTAGTTGCTGGGATTGATCTGGACCAAACTTGGTACAAATACTCAATATGCCCAAATGTGAACACTAGTGGAGCTTGGGGAAAATAGTCCTTGACATTTGGGAGTTGTATCTGCTGGGATTTATAGTTCACCTACAATCAAAGAACATTCTGAACTCCACCAACCGTAGAATTGGGACAAACTTCCCACACAGAACCCCTATGACCAACAGAAAATATTGCGTTTTCTGATGCTCCTTGGTGACCCCTCTGACACCCCCTCGCGACCCCCCCCCCAGGCGTCCCGATCCTCATGTTGAGAAACACTGTTCTAGACTATCTTTTATGTTATTAAAGCTTCATAGTTTAAACAGCTTAAACTGAGTTCATTGTATGCTGCATGGAGATTTTTGGATTTAGGTTGAGCTGCAAATATTTTAATAATCAATACATTAATTATTTTTTTTATCATCCTTCCTTGCCACAGAGGGGATTAGGATTGTGCAATGATGAGTATACATGTTCCTGCGTGTTCCTATACTAGACTTCCGTCCTCTTTTGTTTTCATTTTAACTGTTATCTACTGCGGGCACAGCATTTTTTTTTGCACTGCTCTTGAACCAGTGGGCACAGCAAATATCTGACATACTCCACCGCTGTCCCTCTCTCTCCATGAGGAATTCAACCACAGAAACTCCCCTGTATTCCTTTCTCTTTTTCTCTCCCTCCCTTTCTCTACCCTAGTTGTTTTTCTCAGCCTCTCCTGCACCCTCCCTTCTCCTTTCCAACGGGCAGCTTCCCAACTAGCCAACAGAAAATAAAGCAATATTCAAACTCTCTCCCCAACACCACCACCCAGTCCGGCGTTACCATGGATCCCCCAATGCCCTTCTGGCTTGGCCTGCCTGTCCCTCCCAACCACCTGTTGGGGGCTCATATAACCCACCCCTCCCTGTCCCTACGTACGGGCTCTCACGGGATCCTTCTAAGCAACAGCAGGTACCTGAGAAGGCGAACAATTCAATAACAAACAGCCTGCCGGAGCCAGAGAGCTAGGAAAAAGCAAGGGATTTATCCATTGATCACTACCAACTTCTCCTTGGGCCTTCCTCCACCTTTGGTCCCCCACCTGTTAGACATTGGTCCAACCTGCTCATAAGGGGAGAAGCAAGTGTCCTTGGACCTCCCTAGATCTCCTCTAAGAGAGGTATCCATGGACCCTTCATCATCAACCACCTTCTGGATGCTGTAGACTATCACCTTCCAGGCTGGTTTTCATTGCAGGTAACACAAGAAGGTCTGTCTTCTATAGAGACATTGCCATCTAGTCCTAGTCTTGTGAAGAGGAGACAGATAGCAATTCCTTATCTAAATGCTTGCGTTGCAGGAATAATTTTCCAGACCTTCCTACCTGCCAGATCTTGCTTTTGGTGGATATACTTGAGTGCCTATTGTGTTGTGTCCCTCCGCTTGAAGACTGTGACTTTGAATCCTTACCATTATCAATTTTTGGGGTGTAACTGTCCATAAAAAGTACTCCCGGACTCTCTTAAAGGACAGTAAACAAGGCTGTGTCCTCATCAGCGAGACTGAGGGGCATCTGCAATGTCTTCTGCAGGGCTGGAGATTTTGGCCATGGGCCTGTGCATCTTTGGTTGGATGGGGACTATCCTCTCCTGCGCCCTACCCATGTGGAGGGTCTCGGCTTTCATTGGAAACAACATCGTTGTGGCGCAGATCATCTGGGAAGGGCTGTGGATGAACTGCATTGTGCAGAGCACAGGCCAGATGCAGTGCAAGATCTACGACTCCATGTTGGCTTTGTCGCAGGACGTCCAAGCCGCCCGGGCTCTCATGGTGGTCTCAGTGGTGCTGGCTTTTCTGGCCTTGTTGGTGGGCATCATGGGAGCCAAGTGTACCAACTGTGTGGAGGATGAAGGGGCGAAGGCACGCATCGTGATCACCTCGGGCTCACTCTTCATCACCGCGGGGCTCCTCACCCTCATCCCAGTGTGCTGGTCGGCCAACTCCATCATCCGTGACTTCTTCAACCCGGTGGTCGTTGAACCATTGAAGAGGGAGCTGGGGGCTGCCCTTTATGTTGGATGGGCCGCATCGGCGCTGCTGTTCCTTGGAGGGTCACTTTTGTGCTGCTCTTGCCCTCCACGGGAGGATCGATATCCAGCCCGCATTGGGTACTCTGTCCCCGCCAGGTCCACTGCACCTCCGGGGAGTGGGATCGATAAGCGGGACTATGTATAAGCAGCTGTTGTTTATGCGTGTATGTGCATGTGTAAGTGGGGATATATCAGGCATGGGCAAACTTTGGTCCTCCGGGTGTTTTGGACTTCAACTCCCACAATTCCTAACAGCCTACCGGCTTTTAGGAATTGTGGGAGTTGAAGTCCAAAACACCCGGAGGGCCAAAGTTTGCCCATGCCTGGGATATATAGACTTACCAGATGTTGCTAGGCCCAAAAACTGATCAGAATTATTGCCTCCAGTAATTCTACATTTGAGAGATGGAACAAAGGTCATCGGTCTGGGTTGTGACCTGGTACCTGGTAATTCTGTGTAGTGTGTGTGTGTGTGTGTATGCATGTGCTTGTACAGACAAATTCCTATGTGAGATTGCACAAGTGGAGACTGGGACGACCTGAACAAATAAAGGGATATGCGATAGAATGAGCAAACAATGACGAGAGAGACAAGTGCTCCAGCAAGCACAAGTGGAATGCAGGAGCAGGAGGCTGAGCAAACCAGAGCAGGAAGATAGGACACCACCCAGACCAGTTAATGGCTAAGCGAGCAAACGAGTGTGGGGCCTGGGAAATCTCAGCACCCGATAAATGAACATCTATGGACAATGAAGGACAAAAACAAAAAAACAGGCCAAGCAATGGACAAAATTAAATTTGAGAGAAACAGAAAACAATTATCATGACTAGCCATCTTGTAAACGATGCGGTGGCAAAAAAGCCAATGGGATTTGGCCTGCATAAATAGGAGTATAGTGTCTAGATCCTGTCCCTCTATTCTGCCTTGGAATACTGTGTCCAATTCTGGGCACCATAATTGAAGAGAGATATTGACAAACTGGAATGTGTCCAGAGGAGGGCAATTAAAATGATCAAGGGTCTGGAGAACAAGCCCTATGAGGAGCAGCTTAAAGAGTTGGGCACGTTTAGCCTGCAGAGGAGAAGGCCAAGAGTCATGATAGCCATGTATAAATATGTGAGAGGAAGTCATAGGAAGGAGGGAGCAAGCTTGTTTTGTGCTGCCCAGCAGATTAGGATGCAGAACAATGGCTTCAAACTACAAGAGAGGAGATTCCATCTGAACATTAGGAAGAACTTCCCAACTGTGAGAGTTGTTCAGCAGTGGAACTCTCTGCCCCGGAGTGTGGTAGAGGCTCCTTTTTTGGAAGCTTTTAAACAGAAGCTGGATGGCCATATGTCGGGGGTGCTTTGAATGCAATTTTCCTGCTTCTTGGCAGGAGGTTGGACTGGATGGCCCATGAGGTCTTTTCCAACTCTATGATTCTATGATTCTAAATGATTATGCTGCAACAAAAAATTCCCCCACAAAATGATGCTGGTTAGGATGAAATAGAGGCGAAATAGAAAGGGAATTCACTGTGAAATGAAGGTGTGGGTAATGGATGCTTTTATGGCTGAAAGAATGAGATAACTAATGGGATTGGGTGTCTGCAAATGAATCGTAAAGAGCAGGTAGAATAAACCGAGGCAGAACCTGACACCAAGTGGAAATGAATAGCGAAGGAAGCGAATACTGCACTACAAGGCTTGGGCAGAAATGGCAGGACGAAATGGATACCTAGGAACAAAAGAGGTGTGTGTATGTGTGCTTGTGTGTGTGTGCTTATGTGGGGTGGGAGCGGTGGCGAAAGCCCCTAGCCCGGCCTTGCCTTGAACTGGTGCTCTTTGCTTGCTGGTTAATAATTTGCCATGGATTTGACTTATTCCCAGGGGCCTGAACAAACAAGTGGGGGGCTGTTTTGATCAGAACTGACCATCGCTGATGAAGGAACTCTTTCTTCCACCCTGAAATACATTTGATCTTGCTCTTTTTGTAAAGTTTGGGAAGAGAAGGATGGAGGTTGTGAGCTTCCCCATTCCTTCTGGTATTGAACCTGGAGGGAATGTGTGGATAGGGTTGCCAGACTGCAAAACATGTAAGAGTTGTGTAAAAGAGGGAATTTCACAACCCGGTATCCACCAGCAATTTCTGCTGAAATTTCTTCTTCTGTTTATACACTTGCATCTCCTAGTAGGAGCCCCCGGTGGCAAAGTGCGTTAAACTCCTGTGCCAGCAGGACTGAAGATGAACAGGTCACAGGTTCGAATTCGGGGACAGCGGGTTGAGCTCCCTCTGTCAGCTTCAGCTCCCCATGCGGGGACATGAGAAAAGCCCCCCACAAGGATGATAAAACATCAAAACATCCGAGCGTCCCCTGGGCAATGTCTTTGAAGACGGCCAATTCTCTCACACCAGAAGCGACTTGCAGTTTCTCAAGTCGCTCCTGACACGACCAAAAAATAAATAAATCCCCTAGTACAACAAAAGGATTCGTGATCTCACCTTCACCATTTACACCTGAGATGGAAAAAGGAATGGGAAGAGTTTAAAGATATCCTTCAGCCTTTCCATTGCCCCTTTCTTCAACCCAGCACCGTGTTTTATGTTATTGAGAACTGTATTATTCATATAAATCAGAGTCATATTTGTAATCCAGATGTGTTGGTTGTTTTTTTGCATTTGGGAAAAGGGGTTAGTGAGGCTCTAGATATCAAAGAATGATATTTAACGATACAAAAGGAAGATATGGAAGCTAGTCAATGTTAGCAAAAGGAGTGATGATGTGCCTTCAGGTTGCCTGTTGACATGGTGACCCCACACATTTCATAGGATTTTCTTAGGGAGGATTTGCTTACAGCATCTGGCATTAATTGGTAGTCTCCCATCCAATTACTAACCAGAGCTGACCCTGCTTGGCATCCAAGATCATATAAGATTGGTGCCTTTGGAGTATTTAAGCCCTTTGGGGGGATAGTAAATACATTTTTAGAAGGAAGGATGGAAGGAGAAAGAAGGAAGTTAGGAAGGAAGCAAGGAAGGAAGGAAGGGAGAGAAAAAAGGAGAGAAGAAAGGCTGAATAGGATGGCGAGAGAGGGGGGAAGACGGCCTGAGAAAAGACCCCAAAGGGTGGCATGTAGCCCCCCCCCCCCCAGACCTGGGTTTCCCATACCTGACATAGCTCATCTGACATAGAACACCTTACTCTTTAATCCTGATGGTTTGGACCAGTTCTGGTTATTCCGAAAATACATTTTGCATAGGCTCAGAGGCACTTTTCTTCTGCTGTTTTAAGCATGCTTTGTCAGTCAAAAGATATTTTGTAGTTCCCATGAGATCTGAGACTGAAATTGAACCCTTCTCAGAACACAAGTGCACAGATGCCATTAGGTAAGTGTGTTTGAAAGTAATAATGGCTCATTGTTTGAAACAGGTTTCATGAATCCCTCTGTATGTTTCTTGACAAAGTCCCAACAACCCCTGCCAGTGTAGCCAATGGTAAGGCATGCTGGTAGTTGCAATCCAACAACAAGAAGAAAAATAAAAGTGGGTTGTTGTGAGTTTTTCGGGCTGTATGGCCATGTTCCAGAAGCATTCTCTCCTGATTTTTTGTCTGCATCTATGGCAGGCATCCTCAGAGGTCGCGAGGCCTGTTGGAAACTAGGAAAATGGGATTTATATATCTGTGGAATGTCCAGGGTGGGAGAAAGAACTCTTGTAAATAAAGAACAACACTCAAAATGGGGGGAATTCCAGACACAATCAGGGCCAGCTAATCACCCCCTAACAAAGGATCCCCCACGCAGTAAGAAGCTAGACCTTGAAACTGCTAGGCCATTAAATGCTAATCAAGGTGACCAATTGCAACATTCACACCTATCTCAAACAGACAAGAGTTCTTTCTCCCACCCTGGACATTCCACAGATATATAAACCTCACTTGCATCTATGGCAGGCATCTTCAGAGGTTGTAAGGTCTGTTGGAAACTAGGCAAGTGAGGTTTATATATCTGTGGAATGTCCAGGGTGGGAGAAAGAACTCTTGTCTGTTGGAGGTAGGTGTGAATGTTGCAATTGGCCACATTGATTAGCATTTAATGGCCTAGCAGTTTCAAGGTCTGGCTTCTTACTGCCTGGGGGCTAATAATGCTAATCAAGGTGGCCAATTGCAATATTCACATCTATCTCAAACAGATAACAGTTCCTTCTCCCACCCTGGACATTCCACAGATACATAAACCCCATTTTTCCTAGTTTCCAAAATACCTCACAACCTCTGAGGATGCTGCCACAGATGCAGGCAAAATGTTAGGAGAGAATGCTTCTGGAACATGGCCATACAGCCTGGAAAGCTCACAACAACCCAGTGATTCTGGCCGTGAAACCTTTCAACAAAGCAATAAAAATGTAATTGTACCCTGCCACCATCTCCTTGAAGGGACTTGGGGCGGCTAACAAAGCACTGCAAAGTACAACACATAAAATAAAAACAATAACAAAGTGATAAAAACATAAACAGACATTCAGAAAATATCACATAATAAAATTACAGTGCCCAAAGGACTCCACAATTATCACCTTATTTTTTTAAAATAGATATAAGCAAAATCTTCCATTGGATTTTGTATCTCTTCGTCTCTTCCTTCTTTGATCAGAACTGTTGAGCAGTGCATGAATAGCACTCTAGATATGCCCAGTCACCCTTCTCTCAAAAGAAAGGAGAGAGCTGCTTTAATGCAGAAGAAGGCAGATTTGATGGTTGGTCAAGGTTCAAAGTAAGCACTCCAGTGAAAGTGTTTTAAAACCAGATATTATCGTGGAATGGAGAAATCTATTCCACAGTGTTCAAAATGCATGATCAGAGTTGCATGGCAAGTAAGTAAGTACACCTGGCAGCTGGCGTTAAGAAGAAAAGATGTCTGAAAATCATGCATAGAATATGTGCAAATTAAATGTGCATCACATGTTGGCATTGACTAGGACCCACCGTCATCTGATGTTGAGTGACTCATGCAGAAAGGGAAACAGACATGGTGTGGTCAGGGGAAAGACAGCAGGTGGATATGTTTGAAAACACGGATGGAGGCCACGGGGGCACAATGGATTAAACCACTGGGCTGCTGAACTTGCAGACTGGAAGGTTGGCAGTTTGAATCCAGGGTGAGTTCCCACTGTTAGCCCCAGCTCCTGCCGGCCTAGCAGTTTGAAAACATACAATTGCGAATAGATCAATAGGTACCGCCTCGGAGGGAAGGTAAACAACGCTCCATGCAGTCATGTCAGCCACATTACCTAGGAGGTGTCTACAGACAACGCAGGCTCTTCAGCTTAGAAATTGAGATGAGCACCACCCCCGGAGCCGGAAATAAGCACCACCTCCCAGAGTCAGAAGAGCAGGCCTTTATCTTTATCTGTGTATCTGTGTTTCATTGTTTCTAGGCATTGAATATTTGCCTTTGTGTCTGTATATGCTGGAATCCGCCCTGAGGCCCCTCGGGGAGATAGGGCGGAATACAAATAATAATAATAATAATAATAATAATAATAATAATAATAATAATAAGCCAACATAGTGATCTTGTTGGCTGTGTACTAATCTTGTTGTGTTTCTAATAATAATAGTAATAATAATATGATACACAACAAAATTAGTACACAGCAGTATTTGATCACACGTCGGACACTTCCCAAGTGTCTAGGACTGTGTGTTGTATCGGCAAATAATGCGTGCAGATCTGAGTAGGGTGGCCTTTTGCAGTTGACAGATGGTAATTTTGTCAGCTCCTATTATTTTTAAGTCCAGGACAAGGTCTTTAGGCACTGCACCCAGTGTGCCGATCCCTGCTGGGACTACCTTTCCAGTTCTATCTTTAAATCGTCATATTGTGTAAGCTTTTCCAGTTGCTTCTCATAAATTTTGCTGTCACCTGGAATTGCAACATCAACATCCCATACCTTGTTATTTTCCACTATTGTGAAGCCAGGAGATGATGATGATGATGATGATGATGATTATTATTATTTTAAAAACACAGTACAACACAGCAAATGAAATATATATGCTGGATTTCGTATCACCAAATCACAAGTCGAACACTTCCCTATGGTCTAGGACTGTGTGATGTATTTAATAATAATAGTAATAATAATAATAATAAATCCAGCATATAGATCTCATTTGCTGTGACATATTGTGTTTTTGTGTCAGTAAAATAATAATAATAATAATAATAATAATAATAATAATAATAAGTTGTTCCTCATGGATTTCTCGCAGCCATCATCATCATCATTATTATTATTATTATTATTATTATTATTATTATTATAGGAAGTACCACAAAGTGTGCAGAATGGCTGCGAGAAATCCATGAGGAACATCTTAGGGAATGTATGGTAGTGTTATTAGGGGGGAATGTCTTATGGGAAAGATGCAAATAGAATTGCAAGGCTTGGACTAAGACTTCCAGTATCCTGCAAGTAGCATGGCCAATACTGAAGCCATTAACCACACTGGCTGCAAGATTCTGAGAGCTTCAATCCAAAATACCTTCTTCCATCCCAACTGCCATTGCCTTGGCATTGGAGGAAAAGAAGAGGCAAGAACAACTCTGTCACGCCTTGGACCAGCAGCAGATGAAAGGTTCTTGTTCCATCCCAACTGCCACTGCCCTAGCCTCAGAGGGAGAAGTAGAAAAAGTATCTACAGCTACATTGTTTTGGAAGTCCAGAAGCAGGCACATCTCCATCATGCCTAGGCTGGACAGCAGATGACAGGTCCTCCCTCCACCCCAAATGTCACTGCCCTGTTTCAAAGAAAGATCAAAAGAGGCTAGCATAGTTCTTATCATGCCTAGGAACAGAAGCAGATGCAGGCTCCATCATGCCTAGCCTCGGCAGCAGATTAATGGTTCTCCTTCCGTCCCAACTGCATTGCCTGGCCTCAGAGGGAAGAGGCAGGCACAGCTCCATCGTGCCCACTTCTCTAGAAGCAGAGGCACTGTCTGCTGTATTACTAGAAGAAAACTTTGACAGTGAGCCATGGTGCAAGGGAGATTGAGAGCTGGAGAAGAACCAGGTTTTCCAGGCTCAGGTTACAGCCTGCATCCTGGATGCAAAAGACAGGCATGTAGTGAGAGAATTGGCCATCTGCAAGGACATTGCCCAGGGAATGCCTAGATGTTTTTGATGTTTTCCCATCCTTGTGGGAGGCTTCTCTCATGTCCCCACATGGGAAGCTGGAGCTGACAGAGGGAGTTCATCCATGCTCTCTCCAGATTTGAACCTTCGACCCATCGGTCTTCAGTCCTGCCGGCACAAGGGTTTAACCCATCACGCCACCAGGGGCTCCAGTGTAGAATTAATGCAGTTTGACACCATTTTAATTGTCATGACTCCATGCTATGGAATCCTGGGAACTGTCAATTTACAAGATCTTTTGCCCTCTCTACCAAAGGGTGCTTGTGCTCATCAAACTACAACTCCAAGAATTTCACAGCATTGAGCAATGGAAGTTATAGTGGTGTCAAACTGCATTAATTCTATAATGTAGATGCAACTATAGAGTAGGAAGTGACCCAAAAGGTAATCTAGTCCAACTCCGTAATGAAGGGAAGATCAATTGATACTGATGATTCAAAGCACTCTGAGAAGAAGCC